TTGAAAGAGAATACACAAAAAGAGTTGAAAAAATTAAAAAAAAACACTGAAAAGGAACAAATCTAAGAAAGTGATATGTATAGAGATAAAAATGTACCAGAAATGAAGAGAAGGAATTGAAAGAACAAAAGAGTAACTGAAAAAACAATCACAAACCAATGAAAGACCTAAAGTAGAAAGGATGCAAGATACTCTTCTTCCCCTAGAGCTGAAGCCTCGCCGTTCTCTCTGCTCAGGAAACTTGGTGGGAGCAGTTGTGTGTGGTGGTCTCCTGGGGAAGGGGCCTGTTGCGCTGACCGCCCGCGGGACTTGCCCTAGGGAAAAGGCTTGTCCAGGGCATGGGGGGGCGGGGCTTACTTGTGAGAGTTCCCGGACTCCAGTAGGTGGCGCTGCTTTCCTCCCTAAAGTGTTTCAGCAATGATGGGTGGGATGAAAATGGCACTGCCTGCTACTGGGTATTTACCCCAAAGATACAAATGTAGTGATCTGAAGGGTTACGTGGACCCCGATGTTTATAGCAGCAGTGTCCACCATAGCCAAACTGTGGAAAGAGCCAAGATGTCCATTGAAAGACGAATGAATAAAGAGGATGTGGAATATATATACAATGGAATATTATGCAGCCATCAAAAGGAATGAAATCTTGCCATTTGCAACGACGTGGATGGAACTGAAGAGTGTTATGCTGAGCAAAATAAGTCAATCAGAGAAAGACCTGTATCGTGACCTCACTGATATGAGGAATTCTCAATCTCAGGAAACTAACTGAGGGTTGCTGGAGTGGTGGGGGGTGGGAGGGAGGGGGGTGGCTGGGTAATAGACATTGGGTAGGGTATGTGCTATGATGAGCGCTGTGAATTGTGCAAGACTGTTGAATCACGGATCTGTGCCTCTGAAACAAATAATACATTATACGTTAAAAAAAAGAAGAGAAGAAGAAGGGGAGGAGGAAGGAGAAGGAGAAGAAGATAGCAGGAGAGGAAGAATGAAGGGGGGTAATCGGAGGAGGAGACGAACCATGAGAGACGATGGACTCTGAAAAACAAACTGAGGGTTCTAGAGGGGAGGGGTTTGGGGGGATCGGTTAGCCTGGTATGAAGGAGGTCATGTACTGAATGGCGCACTGGGTGTTATATGTAAACAGTGAACCATGGGTCACTACATCAAAAAATAATGATGTAATGTATGCTGATTAACATAATGTAATAAAAAAAGGCAGCTCAATAAATAAATATTGGTGCATCTATAAAAAAAAGAAAAAGAAAAAAGAAAATGGCGCTTCCTCCCTTCTCTAGTCCCAGGGCTGAAAATTCCCGGCTCCCCACTCTTGAGGGAGCCCTCTCGGAAGAGCAATCAATCGCACTTGTGTCCCCTGTTTTCTGTCAGAACTCTCTATTCACATGCTTATTTAGTTATTGATTGATTTACTTATGTATGTATGTATGTATGTACTTATGTACTTATGGTGTCGTGTATTTAAGTACTTATTTATTTGTCATTTACTTTGTTTTTTCTCAGGCCCGGGACTGAGTTTCCAAAGTCCAACTTTTAGGGACTCCCGTGGGCAGACCGCCACCTTTCCTCCCTCTTCATGCCTACCTTTGGCTGGACCCAACCCACAAAGGTGGTCACAGGATAGAGCAGCACTTCCCACTTTATGGCAACACAGATCACAAAGCCAGCACCTAGCCTCACCGTCCTCAGCAGGTTTCCACACACCTATGCCTGGGAACAGTGCAGGATCTAGGCCCCACCTATTCTTCTGGCATCACTGGGGATCCCCAGACCATGCTGTCACACCCGGATTCTGCTCCAGTGGGCAACCTCAGCACCTATAAGCCGGGCACCATGGCAGACTTCTAGAAGTCCCCAGTTTGTGCTCTGCAGCTTCTAATCCTTTGCCAGTAGACTCCTGCAACAGCCTCTTCCTCACTGCCCTATCTTCAGCTCTGTCCCTGGACACTCAAGTCTGCACATCTCCTACCATCCAAAACATGGTCAGCTTTCTACTTGTAGGGTGGCCTTTGACCTCCCATTGATTTCTCGGGCTTCACAATGTTTTGATAACTCTCTAATTGTATTCACGGGAGGACACAAATGTGCTGTCCGCCTACACCTCCACCAGCTGAACTCCAGCTGAACTCCTCCTCAGAAACAGTGTTTTCAAAGGAGCATTGACCCTGAAGTTAGTAATACTTGTAATAGTTTAATGCTTTATAGAAGCCTAGTCTTTTTGGAAGAGGCTTGTTTAAAAAAAGTAAGTTAACTTGAAAGTACAATGGTCAGGATTTTCATTTACCTTGTGATTTTACAGGCACCTAATTTTTCACTTTACAAGTTGACAAATGATTTGGGAGTCTCCTCAAACTTGGGAAATTCATTAATAGGAACCATCACAGGGGAAGTACCAGGAGGTGTTGCTCCCTTCCTTCTTGAACATGTAACTGTAGTTTCCTTTGTCTTACTCTTTGGTAGCAGCACACTAGGGTGTGCTGTCACAGGGCCTGGGCTTTGGAGATTGAAGCGATTGGAAGAAGCCTGAGTCAAAATCAACAAAGATTTCCCATGTCTCTTCTGTAAAGGATCATACTTTTAACATGATTAACCTTTGTTGAGATGCTATCGTTACCTGCAGCAGAGGAAATTGGTAACCCTCAAAGATGTCAATACTCTATTTTTTTGTTTTGTTTTGTTTTGTTTTAGAGCTAAGTAGGCATGCTGGAACAGAAGTTAGTTTGCTACCATGGTGACATGTAAATATTGCTATGGTGATGCTTTTGTGAGGGGTAGTGGTGTGATAGAACTATGATAAATTATGGGATGTGTATGCTATGAGAGAGCGGGTATGAAACAATGAACACAGCAGCAGTCATGCATGCCTGGATGGCATGACAAAAGGTACCTGACCTCCTGCTTCTGGAAGGGCAAAAAGTAGCAACAAGGTTGTCAGACTCTGATGGTTTGGAGTCCTGCATATCTTTCTTTCTCCTTTGTCAACAAGGGTAATCCTGTGGGTAGTTTTGAATTGACCTTATTTGAGAAAGTCTAAGTTGAGATCTCCAGTAGTGTGGCACGGAGCCCTCTGCCCTGTACATGTTAGCCTGTGTGTCTTAGGTAGTTGGGGGTGGTGTTCATGGTGATAAGGCTGAAGGTGATGATATTTAATGTCTTGGGAGGATGACACTTAATGAATCAGGATACTGGACATGAGAGACAGTACTAAAAACTTCTCAATTATTGTTCATTTTTTTCTTATAATGGCTTAGGGGGCAATTTGGGGGACACTGTGGATGGACCTAGCTTTGGAAAAGATTGTCTTGCAAAATGGGAGGAATGCAGCTACACTTAAGTATGGGAGAGTAATTTTAGTATATCTCAACTTCAGCAATAGAGGGTTCCTGATAATAATTGAGGTTAAGGAGCCGTAGTCATTACAATGAAAGGTCCCTGGGTACAAGACAGGAGGGGATCAGCTGGAAGATCATGCAAAGGAATGTCATCCCTACTGAGCAGCAGTGCTGAGCACCTGTATGGCATGCTTCCTTTCCTGATGGGTGAAGAGGTGCCTTCCCCACCTAGGGAGCTTTACCAGGTGGGAAGCCTGGAGGAGATAGATGGGAAGTTTATTTTGTCCAGATGCCATTCAGCAAGGAGCAGAGGGATGAAGTCCCCCAATGAGTCAATTCTGCCAATGTGTATGAAATAAGTCAGCACAGTTCTTCCAGGTAATTTTGAATAGGCAGGAGATGGTGAGTATTGTGGCAAAAAAAATTCAGGCATATTACAAATAAATTAATTTCTGTGTTAGGAAGATGCAGTGAGGGTGAAAACTTCAGTGGAAAACCTCCCTGAGAAAGGTGCCTTTTTAGAAAGCGTCAACAGTGTCAGAGATACAGGTGGATACATTAGACCTGGAGTTAAATTGTAAAATGTGGATGTGGGATTTAAAATACTAGGGTTTGATAGATTCTTAATCTTAAGACATGTGTCAAGGAAGATACAGTGAGGTTCTTTGTTGCTTAAACAACAATTCTGTTGTGGATTTGAAAGGCATTGTGATATCACATAGCTAATTCTGCCTTCAACCACCTGGTTTGAGCCAGGTGTGAAAAGAGACACTGACAATGAAGGGAATTGTCTTTATAATGAACTTAGATACTTGCGTATAAAGAAAGGCGTAAAAGAGTAATGTTAGATGGGGAAATAGTGTTGTTGTGGATGTTCATGATGTTACTGAACTGCTCGGGTCTCAAAGCCCTCCTTGTGGTTGGGAAATGGGACCACCTCTTCAGTAATGTGAGAAAAGAGGACAGAGAAGGATTTGTACTAATCAGATTGAGTTGCATAAAGTTGCCTTTGAACTTCTGCATATGCTGAGAAATCTTTCCTTTGGCTTTATTAATAAGCTTTTCTTCCCGGTGTCCGTGGCCTACCCAGCTTTCCTGCCTTCTTCTGCTTGTCTTGCATGTGTCAGTAGCAGTCTGGGCTGTAGGCTTAGAGCTCCACAGCCCTTTAGGAGAGACCATTGCCTGCTTTCTTTTAGCACTGTTTTTCTGCCTGTGTTTATTCATCATCTGTCCTGCCAACCCAAGTAAATATTGGTGTTTCCATTTGTATACATAACATTTGGGACATATCTCTTTATTACATTAGGTTTCCATTTATTGAAAGAGATGGTACTCATGCCTCATGTCTCTTCTCATATCCTTTCTTGGTTCTCTCATGCCTCCAACTATAAAAATGACAAAATTACATGTCTGTACAGTATAGGAGGTAGGGCATATATGTTCCAACCAGTTCCAGTCTTGATTTCTCCTTTAACTGCTAGTTGTCTTCACCTGGTTCTCCTTTGGGGATTTTTATTTTTGAGGATTTTGTACTTCTAATATAAGATTTGCAGTCTTTAAAGAGAAGTGTATTTTGATAGCAGATTATGTTGTCTATGGCAGTCCTGCCTTTTCATGATGATCTTTGGGCCCTCATTGTCTCTTCTCCCCCAGGTGAAGACAGTGCTGCAAAGAAATACCATCTCTTTAAAGCACTAGAAGAGAAAGATATTCCTGCCGAGAAGTACTTTGTGGACAGGTGGCCCATGAACAAACCACCTTCTATGGATATGTTGTACAGCCCCACTCTCAGACTGGGCAGAAAACACAAAGTATCACATGATGGAAAGCACACTGAGACAACTGTGGAAGAGGAACCTCTGCAGAACGTGAAACAAAGACAGGTCTCCAAAGGTAAGGTTTGGCTTTGTGTGCTCAGTGGTCTCTGCATGTATACAAAATGGATGGTCATGTCTTGCTGTCCAGTCTACACATGTGCAGGGAATCCAGAAGAAGTCCTATTGCAGACTAGTGGGAATCTCCATCCCTATTTTGGGGAAACCTCTCACATATCTCCTTCACCCAAAGCCAGATGCAGGAGCTGAACTCAAACATGGGCAAAGACTAATAGGTCCTCTCTCAAGAGTTGGTGACATACTCAGGCAGAAGTAGTAACCACAGTCTCTCCTCTCCCTCCTCCATTAAGGGTGGGTAGGACAATTTGACCTGCAAAGGGGGAAGGTTTTTTTTTTTTTATTAATTTGTAGTTATTTCTTCATTAGATGACTTAGAGGGAAAATGGAGGGAAAGAGGAGACAATTCCTCTTAGCACCTAGAACACCCACACTATACTGAGCTGACTAGACTGAAAGTGTGCATTGAATTAACAGGTCTCCATCCTAAGAAGCACCTTATAAAATGGTGGAAGCAACAGGTTTCAGCATCAGAGAGAAACCCTGGCCAGAATGGCAAGAAGAAAATGGCTCAGGAAGTTCAACCTGAGGTCACTGCCCAGAGAAATAATAGCTCCAAAGACAAATCTTCCAGGAAAGGAGCAGAGGCCAAAACCAATAGAAACTGGTCAGATGTGTCTTTCAAATCCAGTGATAATGAACAGGGTATGAAAGGTTGCCTGCCCCACACCTGGAGGGTGCATCACCTGCCTTCTGTGGGAGTGAACCCGTGAGGACTTGAGTAAAGTTGACTGGCTAGGATGTGGCAGGCAGGGAGTTATTTCCTGGTGTCCTTTCAGCCTCCACATTTTCTTCCACAATGTATAGTGCAGAGCACAGTTGAGAGGGAAGGAGCTTCTATTCCTGTGATGCTACCCATCCAGCCCATCTGGCTAGGAAGGGAAAGCTGATCCTGGGAACTTGCCAACACTCTCATTCCAGCCTCAGACTGATTCTCACTGCTAGGTCTGAGCACCCAGGCTGGCTATCCTTGTGAAAGTCCTGTATACAGGCGCAGTAGGTTTGGGTGGGTAAGCAGGAAGGGTTAGCATTTGCTCCCTTTCCCCTGCCGTTTGAAAAAAGTTTCAACTTGGAATTTTATGAGTTGATGTAATTGTTGTTTGAATGTCAGATAGTTAAAACATGTATGCTTTGAAACATAATTGGTACATCTTTAAAAATTTAAAGCCACTCCAGTGATCAGCACTAATGATGAGTTTTTTTTTCTGTGCTGCCTGCAATTTTAATACCTGCTCCTTCTCACCCTGCCCTTTCTCTTGCACACCTTAGCTTTTCCTTTATTCTCTACTTCTGTGCCCATGAAGAGCCTTTCACCTACCAGTACAAGTACCAAACCAGCATCAATGATGCAGTCCAAAAAGCAGAAAATTAAAGAAACTCAGAAGACGCATGTGCTGTACACAGATGAAAAGAATAGCCAAGCTGCCTCCATGCTGCAGAAATATACCAAGAACAGTGAGAAACCATCTGGGAAGAGGGTATGCAAAACCAAGCATTTGATCTCCCACGAATCAAGGCAGGGCTTGTCACTGCCAGGGAACTGCTTTGTGAAGAATGCTGATAGCAAGGTACTCCCTGACTCATCCCTCCCTACTAGTCCATCTTCTGACTACTTCTCAAAATAACTTTGCTTTTCCTGGGCTTCTCCCCCAAAGTTACTTTCCTGTTCTAGGAAGCATGTCTCCTGTTTGTTGGTGAAGTGTCAAACTAGTAAAAATGAAACCTCTTCTGAAAACTCCACTTAACTAACCCCCACCTCCCATACCTGCTGCCTTCCGGCAAATAAAATGAAAAACTGATTTCTACTATGATTTTTGACTTGGGTAGTAGGGAAAAAGGCAGGTCTGGAAGACAGCCTTAAATGTATATACTCCTTGATTTTGCAATAGGTGACCATTGGAGGAGTCAAAAAGCAGGAAAAGTGCAGTTCCAACTATTATCTGTCACCAGCCAACCAGGATCAGAAATCCTTCAATCGTTTCCAACAATTATTGCCAGCTTCTGAGTCCTTACAAAGCCTGCCACAGTCAAGTTTGCATGCAGACACTGTCCAGTCACAGCCAATGCTGCCAGAAGGACGGCGACTTTTGGTCAATAAGCATGCTGGTGAGACCCTCCTGCAGAGGGCTGCCCAACTTGGCTATCAGGTTGGTATCCTTGTGGTGTCTGGATTTACAAACTGCTGATGCTGCTCCTTGAAATTGGTGAGGAGGCACACTAACTGAGGCTGGCGCAAGGAAGGGCAAGGAACTCACAGTGCAGTCCCTCCAGATCGGGGACTGGGGTGGGTGTTGCAGCTTTGCTCCAAAGTCACTGCCATATCCCCACCCAACATAGCTGTGTCAGTGATAGCTTATAGTGTCCCAGTACTTGATTATGTTCTTGTTCTAAGCCTAATGGATGTATTATAACTTATTTCATCCTTGAGACATATTTGTGCTGTCATGCATTCACGTGACCAAACTAGCCACAGAGGTGTTCATTAATACTTGCACATGTAGTAGTCTAGCAATTTGGCTCCAGAGCCAAACTCTGCACCTCTCCATTTGCATCCTCACCCTGATCTTCTACAACACTGACTCACATTGGAGTTGCCCTTTCTACAGTTTACAACATCTCTAAGCTACATTACCCCCCTGCCCTGTGCAGCTTCCTTCCCTACCATACTTCTCAGATGAAATTATGATGTAATAGTCCACAGGACAAAGTCATTTTTTGATGCTGGCATCAGCCCTGTGGCATTTGAATGGTCAATATAAAATGGGACTCAGCAGCCTGAGTGTGGAGCTGTAGATGATTGCCAGGGTGACAGAACCCCTACTTGCTGTCAGTCAAGGAAGGACTGACAGAATTTGCCTAGAACCCCACCTCCCTGGCCAGCTCTGTCCCTTTGTCCATTGTGCTGCAAGCTCTTCCTGATGTCATTGCCTTGAAGCAGAGCCCATCCCCGAGGCATTACTGCATGGGAAGGAAGTTGGAATTCAGCTAGTACCCTGTAACATAGTCTCTTCAAACAGTAGCACCTTTTTAGTTTGGGGATAGTTTTCGTTGTTGCTTCAGTGTTTTGTTTCTGTTTGTTTTTTGGAGATTTCTGGATGATCTGGAGAGAATTCTCTGGAAGGGTTTTGTAGTTAGCTCTGTTTCTTGCAGATAAAATCCAGTGACATCAGTTGGGTTCTCATGAGTTAAAAGGAGCAGTACCTACAGACAGGATAGATGTTGCATGTGGTATTGAGTAGTTCTGACATGCCAGCCATTCTCTTATCAGTAGCTGTGGTTCAGAAAATTGATGTGCTTCTAGCAAACACATGCTCATCCTCCCCACCAACATGTATACACTACCTGCCCAAGCTGCAGGGGGAGGTTCACAGGCCTGAATATAGATGTCTTTGAAACTGGGTACTACCAAGCTTTGGAGAAGTCATCATTATGAGATTCATTGTGCAGTCTCATAGCATTCCCCCTTCTTCTTTGCACAGGAATTGGTGTTGTACTGCTTGGAAAACAAGATTTGTGATGTGAATCATCAAGACAATGCTGGCTACTCTGCTCTGCATGAAGCTTCTGCAGGAGGATGGCTCTGCATTGTTCAACACCTTCTTAAATATGGTGCTGATGTCAACTGTGGTGCCCAGGATGGAACCAGGTTAGTGGACCTTAGTGTCTTGCTGGGACATGGGCAGTGATTCTCAGGTATGTGGGAAAATACCTAGAGGAAAGTTGAGTGAACACATAGATTGCAATATCCTCTAACTAGGAAATTCTGGAGCATACATAAAACTTTAAAAGTGTATGATATGAGAAGAAACTTGACAGAGTAGGAATCACCAGGAATAGTTCTTACCTAGACAGCAGTTGTACTGGCAAAATATGTCTGAGGTAACTACTTTGGCACCATTTTTCAGGGTATTGCAACTTCCAGGAAGCCTTAAGTAGTTAATCTTGATCAATTTCCACTCTTAGCACAGTAGCAGATATCTTTTCTCCAGGAGTAGCCCAGTCTTGTGTCAGGCAGCTGTGAGTATGTTTTGGAGCAGCTTATCAGTCAACTTGTAGGCGCCAGGGTGGGCAAATGTTCCTATGATCCAGATATTAGAAATCTGTGGTTTCATTGCTGCTTCTCTTTATGAAGGTTCACAGAGAGAAGTGGGCAGCCATTGCTATAGGACCCTTTTCCTCTGGCTGAAGTGCTTTGTAATAGATTTAAACAGCCCCCTTCACTCTCTTTTGGGAACCAACCGTTTAAAGACTAGGACATTCAAAAGCAACCGTATATACAAGTGGATTTAGAATGTCACTGTACATACCAGGGAAAAGGCACAGACTAGAATAGTCCTGAAAGGACTTTATTATATTTCATGTTCATCCCTGGCAGTAGACATGCTACACTAAAAAAAAAAAAAAAAAAAAAAAAAAAAAAAAAATGCCTGCCTTCAGCTCAGGTCATGATCCCAAGCTCCTGGGATCGAGCCCCGTGTTGGACTCCCAGCTCAGCAGGAAGCCTGCTTCTCTCTCTCCCTCTGACACCGCCCCCCTTGTGTTCCCTCTCTCATCCTCTCTCCCTCAAGTAAATAAAATCTTAAAAAAGAAAAAAACGGCAGAAAGAATCCTGTCTCCTAGACAATGATTGTAAAACAACTTAGCAGTGCTCTAAGAGTTAAAAGAAAATATGAACAGAGAAAACAATGTATAAACAAAATTGAAATATCAATAAAGACATAGGACACATAAAAAAGAATTGTAGAACTAAAAAGTGCAGTAACTGAAATGAAAGCTGAGCAAAGTCATTCAAAGCTTGATTTCAGCAGGCAGAAGAATCAGCAAACTTGAAAATAGGACAATTGAATTATCGAATTTAAAGAATGCAAAGGAAATAAAAGAGTTAAAAGAACTTAATTCACTTATTGAATATAATCAACTGGATTAACATATACCCCATAAGAGTTCCAGAGAGAAAAGAGAAGGGATAATGGAGGCAAATTATTTGCGGAAATAAATGATCAGAACTTCTGCAAATTTGTTGGAAGGCATGCAGACAAAGTAAGTTCAGTGAGCTCCAAACAGGATAATCTCAGAGACTCACATAAGACATTACAATGAAAGTGTTCAAAGCCAAAGACAAAAAAAGAAATGGGGAGCAGTAGAGAAGTGGCCCTGCTCATACCCTACTCTCCAATAAGTAGATATATTCAGAGTGCTACAGGAAAAACTGTAAACCAAGAGTCCTATACCTATGAAAACCTACCTTCAAAAATTGGGACATTAGGAAATAAAAGCTCAGGAATTTTGTTACCTGTAAAATTACGCTGCAAAAAGTGCTAAACAGCAGTCCTTCAAGTCCAGATGAAACACACTAGATGGTAACTAGATGGTAAACACACTAGATAGGAACTCCTATAAAGAAATAAAAATTTGTTAAAGGTAAATATGTAGACAATTTTAATCTAGTTTTATTGTAACTGGTTTGTAGCTCTTTTGTAAATGATTTAACAAAGTAATTTATAGAAAACCAATTATTACTCTCTGTTTTGGAGAACAATTTGTGTGAAGATAGAAGTCTATGACATCAGTAACTGAAACATTTGTAGACCGAGTTGTGTAAGAGCAGAGTTTTTTATGTTAATGACAGAGTAATAAAGGACTTTAATAATACCCTCCTCTTTATAATGCACCCGCAGAGAGTAAGTAAACAAATAGAAGATGGCAATGACACAATATACCAATTAGATCTAATATATACACAGCACTCTACCCAAAAACAGTGGAATACACCTGTTTCCTTTGAAAGTGCACCCTGGACATTCTCCACCTTGTACCATATATTAGACCACAAATGAAATTTCATTAGATTTAAGAACATAGAAGTCATATAAAGCATCTTCACTGACCACAGTGGGATGAAGTTAGAAGAAAACAAAAACAAAACAGCAAAATTAGAAAATTTGTGGAAATTAAACAATATAGACTAAACAACATGGATCAAAGAAGAAATCAGAAGGGAAATTAGAAAAATACTTGGATATAAATGCAAAGCAAAAAACAATACATCAACGCTTACATGACACAACTTATGCTAAGGGGAAAACTTGTATTTATAAATGCTAAAGGCTCACATAAAATGATCTCAAATCAACACCTAACCTGACAACTTGAGGAACTTGGAAAGATTAACAAAGTAAACCCATGGGTTGTAGAAGGAAGGAAATACAAAAGGTTAGAGTACAGAAAAAATAGGGAGTAGAAAAACAAATGACAAAATCAACAAAACCCAATACTTAGTTCTTTGAAAGATTAACAAAATTGACAAACCTTTAACTATATTGACTAAGAAACATACTAGTCTCAAATTACTCTAATACAAAATGAAAATGGAGTCATTACTATCCATTTTACAAAACAGAGGACTCAACTAATATCAGAAACAAAGAGGCATTACAAATAATGCCACAAAAATAGAGTGATTATAGGGCAGTACTATTAAAATTGTATTCATAGTGTTTATAAAAGGATAATTCTTGTTGATTTGAGATCTTTTGATTTTTTAAAATGTATTGACCACCATTACTTACCACTTACTATGCTCTCTGAGTCCTACTAGTTTCACAGTTATATTTTCATTTTCATTTATCAAGCTATTTTTCCCTAGTTTCCCTTGTGTTTGCTTCTTTGATACATTTGTTGTTTAAAATTTGGTTTCAATTTCCATGTACTTGTGAATTTTCCATTTTTCCTTCCACTCTTGATTTTAGTTTAATTCCATTATTGGGGAAGATATGTGATGTGATTTCAATTTACTTAATAAAAGTTTTTCTTTTAGCATGTGTTATCCCACCTAATGATGGAGATGATAATATGTAAAAACAGTGTTTTTACATGCAAAAACACATGCATCCATATGCATGTACGTGTAAGTAAATACAAAAGAAACTACAGGCAGAGAGTCTTAATAAAATGTGATAATTTCAAGAACAATGATAACTTCATTTGATTCTTTGCTACATTTTCTTCAGTTATTATACTAACAGCAGCCCTGTTTTTGTTGAAGACTAACATATTTATGTTTACCAAGTTTTTTTTTTTTAATTTGACTGTAATTGACATAGTTGTTAATGTTAGTTTCAGGTGTACAACATGGTGACTGGACAAATTTAAACATTATGCTATGCTCACTACAAGTGTAACTACCATCTGTCCCATTACACCCCTATTACAACTGTGCCTTTTACTCTTGAGATTCATTCCATAATTGGAAATCTGTTATCTCCCACTCCCCTTCACCCATTTTGCCCATCTTCCCACTCCCCTCTGGCAACCATCAGTTTGTTCTCTGTGCATTCTGCTTTTTGTTTGTTTATTCATGTTTTCTTTTGTTTATACCTTTGTTTTACTTTAGATTCCACATATGGTATTTGTCTTTCTCTGACTGACTTATTCATTTAGCAAAATACCCTGTAGGTCCATCCCTGTGCTTGCAAATGGCACAATCCCATTTTCTTTTATGGCTCAGTAATATTCCAGTGTGTGTCTGTATGTTCATTCACACTATGGACGGATACTTCAGTTGCTCCCATATCTTGCGTATTGTAATAAAATGCTGCAGTAAACGTAGGGGTGCATATATTTTTTTCAAATTAGTTTTCATTTTCTTTTGGTAAATACATCATGATGCAATTTCTGGATCATATGGTAATTCCATTTTTAACTTTTGGAGGAACCTCCATGCTATTCTCCAGAATGGCTGCACCAGTTTGCTTTTCTACCAACAGTGCAAGAGGGTTCCCCTTTCTCTGCTTCCTCACCAAAACCTATTATATCCTGTGTTGTTATTTTGGACCATCCTGACAGGTGTGAGGTGGTACCTCATTGTTTTCATCTGTATTTTCCTGACGAAGAGTGATGTTGGGCATCTTTTCGTGGGTGTGTTGGCCAACTGGATGTCTTCTTTCAAACAATGTGTATTCAAGTCCTCTACCCATTTTTTAACTGGGTTATTTGTTTTGGTGTGGAGTTATATGTTTTTTTTGTATATTTTGGATATTAATCCCTTATTGGATATATCATTTGCAAATATCTTCTCCATCCAGTAGGTTGCTTTTTTGTTTTATTGGTTATTTCCTTTGCTGTGCATAAGGTTATTTTTAGCCTATTTAGCTTTTTATTTTTTTCCTTGCCTCTGGGGACGTGTTCATTTTTGATTTTGTTTTCCTTGCCTCTAGGGATGTGTCTAGTAAGAAGTTGCTACAGCCAAGGTCAAAGATTACTGCCTGCATTCTCCACTAGGATTTTGATGGATTCCTGTCTCACATTTAGGTCTTTTATCCATTGTGTGTCTGTTTTTGTGTATGCTGTAAGAAAGTGATCCCGTTTCATTCTTCAGCATGTGGCTGTTCAATTTTCCCAACACCATTTGTTGAAGAGACTTGTCTTTTTTTCTCCATCGGGTATTCTTTCTTGCTTTGTTGAAATTGGTTGACCAAAGAGAGTTGAGGGTCCATTTCTGGGTTCTCTAGTCTGTTCCACTGATCTATATGTCTGTTTTTATGTCAGCAACATATAGGTGGGTTTGTTTTTTTAAAGATTTTATTTATTTATTTGAGAGAGAGTGCACACCAGTGAGGGGAAGGGGCAGAGGGAGAGGGAGAAGCA